ATAGCTTTCTAGTAACAAAAACATTATCCAAAAATTATGAAAATGCAAGTTTCTATACAAAAGGAGTCTACTTATCTACTTTGTAGATAAATTATCACCTTTATCTGCAAATTAAATTATGAAAAATAAATTTCTGTGTCTATGTCATTTTGTTCAATGACATGAAAATCATAAGTATTTTTAAATCTTTAAAGACATTTTTATTATTTTATTAAATGAGAAAATAAATTGTAGATGGATATTTTTTGTACCACAAAAAGCTAAGAGTTTTACGGGGTAAAAATGGGAGTTCATAACCCACTTGAATCAAATGTATGAAATATGATATGTCAAGAACTATGTAATGTTTTGAACAACCAATAATAAAAATTAAAAAAAAAAAAGAAAGAGGTCCAAGGGAGCTGATTTTCCCTTTCTCTGCCACAGCAAGAGCGTGCCATCTATGAGCAAGAGCTCTCATCAGACACGAAAACTGCTGGCTCCTTGATCTTGGATTCCCAGCCTCCAGAACTATGAGCAATAAATTTCTGTTGTTTATAAGTCAAAAAAAAAAAAAAGCTAAGAGTTTCAGGTAATAATTATTTTCTGAAAAATTTCTGAACTGCAGGGAAAATTACTAGAAAGAAACAAAGATATATATAGAAAAGCCTATAATTTTACATTTAAAATGAATTTAATTTTGACATTACTTTAAAATACTTAACCAATTTTAAGATGTTGTATGGGTTGCCAAAGCTACTGTTTGTAGACATGAAAAGGGGAAAATATGTTTTCATAGATCTAAGCATAACACAAATTAGAAAAAACTCTATATTCATGAGGTTAAGACTCTAAATTGGAAGCAAAATATGCCTTGAAAATTTAAAAAATCAGTTGAATTATATGTGCAATTAGGCAGCACAAATCTTATTTTTCTCTCGAACCAGAAGTTTCAATTGCATACCAAAACATAATGCATGGCAATAATGCATATCATTGCTTTTAATTGAGTGTTTAACATGTGCTCTTTGACAATGTAGCTTAAAGGCTTTTATAATGAGCAAAGTGCAGAAAAAATTAATATATCTAAATTTCATCATGTTCTCATCTTCCCTAGAAGGTATCATAGCTCCCAAATGATTTCTATAATTGAAACATGTTAGTAACTTTATGAATACACTCACAATTTCTCATCAGAAATAACACTGTTCTGACACCAAATTAAGGAGGACTAGACTTGCCATTTTAGAGATGATCAATGAAATTAAAAAAAAAAATGGACTGTAGGTTTAGTAAATAAATAAATTTTTCCCTTTTGAAAATATTTTGCTGATGGGGATATTTGCATAGATGACAAATTTAAGCATGGTTATAAAACTGAGTTTATAAATACTTAATAAAATTATATAATATTTTTAAAACTTGTATTGACTGTATTATACTTCCCTGGTGCTTACAGTAATGCCTCAGAAGGAATTTTGGAAAGCTATACGCAGAATTCATCAAAATTTACGTGAACGTCCCTGTTCTACATTCCTCCTCACGAAGATATTTCCAGGATCACAAGGTGCAGGTCCCCCTTTACCTGACCGAAATTTATCCTTCTTTTCTCCCTTCCTTCTTTCTTCCTTTTCTTCCATTTATTAAATATTCTCTTCCTTAACCAGCATTTATTGTTTATAGGCACCATGCAAATTACCCAGAAATTAAACAAAAATTACAATGTATCTCTTGTCCTTAACCAAGCAAATCATTGTTTTCAATAGGATGCTGTAAATGTGAACATTGGGGTAAACAGAGTGCAATTAGAGTTCAAAGCAGACAAAAGAAAGTGAAGAGAGGGTTGCCGCAAGGATTTTCTGCTTTCTAAGTTAAACCAAGAGGCCTCAGCCAGACAGTGGCCCGAATGAGAGGATAACAAAGAAAAATGTTACAATCAGAGGGAAGAGTGTTTGTGAAAAACTGGAAGAAAAAAAAAAAAGCATGTTGTGCATTATGGGGTCTTCAAGTTGTCCCAGATGGTAAGAATATAGAGTTAGAGGGAAAGGAATAGCAAGAGAGAGGCTGGAGAGAAAGGTAGGGCAAATTGCAGAAAGATTCATAATAGTATCTGTTCCAAAATCAGTTTCTTGCAACTCTGATCCCATCTCATCTCCTATAGTACTTTGGTTCAGTGTTTTTTACTTTAGTATTTTTTTCTTTTTAAGTTTGGTGTTTTCAGTCTTGTCTATTACTAGGTTCTCCTCCATTACCTATCCAGAGGTACCAGCTATTCTCTTATTACTCACGTATATTCCCTACATTGCATGAATGAGAACAAAGAAAAGACTTTTTTAAACAAAAATGAATGATAAAAAATTTTGAGCATCTCAAATCTAGACTTTCTCTTACAAAAAGTTAATAAAAGTTATAATTAAATAGTAGAAAAAATAAGGCCAACTAGAAAGGCCTAATAAGCATAAGGAGTTAGAAAAGAGTAAAGAACATGTTCATCTGGGGAAAAAAATATGAAAAAGGATTTATTGTGTAAAGTAATAGTAAGCTCTCTTAATAAATTAATTAACAAATTAAATACACATGAAATGGTAGAAAATGAAATATATGTCAGAAAGGATCATACAATCCTTGAAACTGTCCAGGAAGGAGTTAAAGGTGTTGATTATGATTCATATCTGGTAAGTGAAATATGTATTCCAAATATGCTTGTAATTTATAACTTCAAATTTATAAATAGAAAAGCATTTTTAAAAAATAAGCTCAGGGGGATGAGAATTCAACTCAGTGGTAGAGTGTTTGCCTAAATTATGCAACTCCTAGGTTAGATCCTCAGCATCACACACATACATAGATACACAAATGGGGGAGAAAAGGCTCAATTCCCAACATCCTCAATTTAATTTTATCAAAAACCATGGATTCAAATTACATGAAAAAAAAATGAACTGAAAACATTTATAGAGAAACCCAGTGTCTTACTGAAATATTCTAAATAGCTCTCAGAGTAACTGATACATCAATAAGAAAGTAAATAGGAAACATAAGATTTAAATAGCACAATTAGTTTAGCTGGCAAAATGAGCCCACATAGAAGAATGTCCCCAAATTAGAAAAAGTGTTTTCTCCTAATGAAATATTTATATAAATTTTCCATATATGAGGATACAAAGTAAACCTTTATTAATAAATTTAAAGAATTTGGGTTATATAGACCACATTTGTGAACACACCATAATTATATTAAAATTAATTTTAAAATAGCTAAAATTTGACGGAAGATTTAATTTATCTGACTAATCACAGGCTGACTTTGCAAAGAGTTTGCATGCTCATAAGTTATAAGAAAATTGGTTAAGGTGCAACTTAGAAAAACTACATAAATAAATGAAGAGATAGATTATGAATGCATTTAGGAATACTTAATATAATGATTTCATCCCCCCTGCCCACCAAATAATCCATAGATGAATGCAGTTAAATCAAAATTCCAACAAATTTTCTGAAGGAAATAAACAAGATAATGCTGAAATTTAAATGGAAGAGCAAGAGTAAAGAATGTCATAGAACTCATTAAGAAATACAAGATTGGACAATTCATTATGATAAAATTCATTACAGAAGTTTAGTGATGTAGACATAGACTGTTGAGGCAAAGATGATCAAATAGAATGAATAATGTAAAAAGTTAAAAGAAAAAAGATCCCCACAAATATGGAAGCCTGTTGTCTGTGAGAGAGACATTTGAGCATTAAAATATAAAGAAAAACACACCATAGATTATTAAAATTTGTTTTCTACATTAGAAAAAAATTAATTGGAACCTCACTTCACATCATAATTATATCTACATACTAATTTTATGTTTCACATCTGGCAAGTGAAATATGCATTTCAAAAATTCTATAAATAATTTATCACTTCTTTACTTGTCAACAAAAGATAGAATAAGAGGCTAAATCACTTAGTTTTGACCATTCAACTATAGCTTCACCAAAAAGCAGAATAAAAAGTAGAATTCAAATGCATTCATAATAAAATACTAGAAGATATTTTTATAAACTTGGGGTGGGGAAAATTTCTTTAAAAGTTTTATGAAAGTACTAAGTTCAAAATTAAGGCATTTACAACTTATAACAGATTAAAATTAAACTCCCCTTTATCAGAATTTATCATAAAGAAATGAAAGAATATTAACTAAAGAAATTTTTAACATATGTCATTTAAAATGTCTAGTATCCATCGTATTCAATAAATTCTTAAAATTCAGAGAAAATATAAAAAGTCACTCAATCTATGGAGGAAAACCATGAGCAAGTTTTTTATGGAAAAGGAATGCAAATAATCATCAAAAACTATTAAAATATGCCCAACTCCATTGATAATTTTGGGTTAGTAAATCATAATAAGATGCAACTAAGGAGTCTTGTATTATAATACAAAGTGTCAAGGGGTCTTTTATTTCTAGGTAGGAATGCACATAGACAGGAATTGTATATTATTTCCTTTTACTATACTATTATTTCATTTAATTATTTTACTATTTACTTTTACTACAGTGAATGAGATATGACAGAACAAAGTTTCATCTTCAAGACAGATGCCATCATACTGGGAGTTCAGTGTGGTTCCAAGCAGGAGAAGGACTCAACACACCATTGCTGGTTTTAGAGGAGATCTCAACCAGCCACAAAGGAAACAAGAACCTCAGCCCCAAAGCAGATTCATTCCAGGATCTCCAGAAAAAAATGCAGGGGTGCTGGCACCTTGATTTCAGTCTTGCCAGACCTGGAGCAGAGGAACCTGTTGAGCCATACTATGCCCAGACTTCAGACAAAGAAACATCAAGAGAATAAACAGTGATGATTTTAAGCTACTAGAGTTGGGGTAATTTTTTTTATGCAACAATAGAAAATTAACATGAGCAGAAAACTGGCTACATGCTATTGAGTTATTGACAGAGAAAATTGACTACTCATCACTCAAAGCCAAATCACTATTTTTATTTTTAAATATGAAAAACTCACGGTTTTTGACAAAGCAGCCATTTCTTCTTTTGATGACTTTGTTTCTTTCAATGTCTCATTCATTATCTCTTGTTTTTCTTCTATATGAATATTAGTGTTTTTTATTGATGTAGAGTAGCGAATAAATAAATTGTTAAGTTTAACCAGGTCTTTCCTAAGAGAAAACAGTTGATTTTATCCACATTGAAAAGAAAAATTATATTTATCTTCTGACTTACTATGAAACAAAGGAATTTATTTTGAAAATTACCCAGGCCCAATTTCTTATGCATCAACTCTGATTACATGGGTTGAGTCAACTTAAACTGAAAGACAGAATTTTGGCACAAAAACAAAACCTAAAGCAGCAATTAGACAAGAACAAGATTCTTCTTTACCTTTCCATGCCTGGGTAATACAGGCTTACCTATTAGAATTCTAGAAGCCACATAGGCAATGAGAGGTGGGAAGACTCAACATTCAAAATTTATAGGTAGGTTTGGCTAAGTTTCCTTCTTTTGAAATTAATTTTTCTTCCTTCAATGACCTCTATTACTCCTAATCCTGAGAATTAACGACAGACTTTTTCTAGTGAAGTGGACAATTGCCTAGTGTCATGCAATAGAGGTATACTGTAGTTGTTCCTCCATACCTATTCCCTGTTGAAGTTGATACCACCAATCCCTAAGCCTTTTGAGGATTTTTTTTTGGAGTAAAAATTTGCTACTAGGCTTGTCTCCACTAGTAGTTTAAATTTCATCATTCTCATATCTGCTCAATCAAAATAAAGATAAAGGAATAAAATGAGAAAAAATACTCTATTGTTAAGAACTATTATATAGCACAGTGAGAAAGTGTTATATTGAAGAATAGTAGACATACATATCAATGGAATGAAATAAAAGACCCAGAAATACGTCTACACAAATATATCACCTAATGTGATAAAATTATAAACACAATTAATTGTAAACAATTTAACATTTGGTTTTAGAACAATTGGATAATCACAGGCAAAAAGGAAAAAAAAAATGAAGCTATGACTAAATCTCACACTCCCCACACAATTGAACTAACAAAATGTTCATGTGTCTAAATATAAAATATAAACATAGTATTTTTAGAAAGAAAATTAGGAGAAAATATTTGTGATTTTAGAGTTAGGACACCAAAGACATGAACCATAAAAGGAAGAATTGGTAAACTGAATTTCATCAAAATTAAAAACTTTTGTACTATAAAATACCTTCATAAAGTGATGAAAGGACAAACATTTTATAAAACATAAAAATATTTGCAAATCACATATCTGATAAAAAATTTTCATCCTCAATATAGAAAGAATCCTTTATACTCAACCATATGAAAACTAACAATGCAATTAGAAAATAGGTAAAACGCTTGGAGAGATGCTTCACAAAAGAGAGAATATAATAATAAATGAAATAATGAATAGATTTTCAAATTCAGTGCAAATTAAAACTATAATGAGTAATCACTACATATCTACTATAATGGCTAAAAGAATGTAAGAAGTGGTCTATTGTGAAAAAACTGTCTCATACATTGTTGATGTAAGGATAAAAAGGTAAAGTGATTCTGGAAAAAAGTTTGGCACTGTCTTATAAAACTAAATTCATACTTAACACACATCCAAAGAATCACCCTCTTAGATATTTATCCCAGAGAAATGAAAACTTGTATGTAAATATCCCTATAGATTTTACTCATGATAGCATAGAATTGTAAACAAACTAAATGTCTCTCAAAGATTGACTGGATAAACGAACTCCAGTACACCTGTACAATGAAATCCCACTCAGTAATGAAAAGGAATAAATTCTTGATACATCCAACAACCCAAATTGATCTCAATGGCATTACACTTATTGAAAAAAGGCAAAAATCAAAAGGTTACACCTGTATGATTTCATTTATATGACACTGTCAAAATGAAAAAAAAAAAAAAAACTATAAAGACAGAAAAGATCAGTGATTGTCAGGAGACAGAGAAAGGGCAAGGGGTATAAATGTAAAGGACAGCCTAGTGGTTACCGAATCTATAGAAAAGTTAGAACTATTTATAATTACACACACACACACACACACACACACACACAAGAGCATGTTTTTTTTTTAAATTTTTGCTTATTTTTTATTTATATGTGACAGCAGAATGCATTACAATTCTTATTACAGATACAGAGCACAATTTTTCATGTCTCTGGTTGTATACACAGTATATTCACACTAATTCGTGTCTTCATACCTGTACTTTGAATAATAATGATCATCACGTTCCACCATCATTAATAATCCCATGCCCCCTCCCTTCCCCTCCCACCCCTCTGCCCTATCTAGAGTTCATCTATTCATCCCATGCTCCTGCTCCCTATCCCACTATGAATCAGCCTCCTTATAGCAAAGAAAACATTCGGCATTTGTTTTTTGGGGATTGGCTAACTTCACTTAGCATTATCTTCTCTAACTCCATCCATTTACCTGCAAATGCCATGATTCTATTCTCTTGTATTGCTGAGTAATATTCCATTATGTATATATGTCACAGTTTTTTTTATCCATTCATCTATTGAAGGGCACCTAGGTTGGCTCCACAGTTTAGCTATTGTGAATTGTGCTGCTATAAACATTGATGTGGCTGTGTCCCTGTAGTATGTTGTTTTTTTGTCCTTTGGGTATAGACCGAGTAGAGGGATAGCTGGGTCAAATGGTGGTTCCATTCCCAATTTTCCAAGAAATCTCCATACTGCTTTCCATATTGGCTGCAGTAATTTGCAGTCCCACCAGCAGTGTATGAGTGTGCCTTTTTTCCCACCACCTCACCAACACTCATTGTCATTTATATGCCTAATAGCTGCCATTTGGACTGGAGTGAGATGAAATCTTAGAGTGGTTTTGATTTGTATTTTTCTAATTGCTAGTGAACATTTTTTCTAACTGTTAATGAACATTTTTTTCATATATTTGTTGATTGATTGTACATCATCTTTTGAGAAGTGTCTCTTCAGGTCCTTGGCCCATTTATTGATTGGGTTATTTGTGGGTTTTTTTTTTTTTTTTTTTTGGTGTCTACCTTTTTGAGTTCTTTATATACCCTAGAGATTAGTGCTCTATCTGATGTGTGTTGGGTAAAGATTTGCTCCAAAGATGTAGGCTCTCTATTTACCTCACAGATTGTTTCTTTTGCTGAGAAGAAACTTTTTAGTTTGAGTCCATTCCATTTATTGATTCTTGATTTAAATTCTTGTGCCACAAAAGACTTATGAAGGAAGTTGGGGCCTAATCCCACATGATGGAGATTAGGGCCTATTTTTTCTTCTATTAGATTCAAGGTCTCTGATTGTATTCCTAAGTCCTTGATCCATTTTGAGTTGAGTTTTGTGCATGGTGAGAGACAGGGGTTTAATTTCATTTTGTTGCATATGGATTAAGATGAAAACACAATAGGGCCTAGGCCAACAAGACCTAGTCCTGGTTTTGATATAATACAATAATTTTAATCTATATGATCTTCCCATGGGAGAAGGTAGGAAAAGGGTGTACAGGACTCTAAGGTTTCTATGAGTCTGTAATTATTTACAAATAAAAAGCAAAGCTTGGATAAAATGGACCTGCATGACTGATTCACCAAGACTGACATAAAACACAGAAAATATGAATATACCATATCTCTTAAAGGAATCATCCTAACTTCTCCCGCCCTCCCTCTCCCCCCCGCCACACACACACAGAGGAGGCTTTTCTAGTGAAATAATCAAAACACTATGGAAGAAATAATACTGATTTTATATAAATTACATGAGAAAACATATAAAGACCAACACTTGATAAAACAAGAAACAAATAAAATCATGATAACAAAATGTGACAACGAAAAAATTACGACATTAGTTTCATGATCATAGATAGAAAAAGCCATATTTTAAAAAAGCAAATTTAACCGGAGATATATCCAAAATTCACTACATTTTGGCTAAATGGAACCATTTCATGAATGTTGTATTTCTCTAACATTTGAAAATTAATCTAATTTATTACATTCACAGAATAAAAGTGAAAAAGTACTATCATCTAAATAAATGTACCAAGAAATTAATAACACCTAAAACTTATTTACACCTTAGTCAGGCCAATTAGAATAAAGAAAATTTAGTTAATATTGGAAATGGCATTTACACATCTATCATCTCCTTGTTAGTCAGCTTTGTATTGCTGTGACAAAAGACCTGAGCAAATCAAAGAAGGAAACATTTACTTTGGCTCATGGTTTCAGAGGTTTCAGTCCAGAGTCTAATAGCTCCATTGCTTTAAGCCTGTGGTGAGGCACAATATTATGATGGAGGGTCATGACCCCAAGGATCCATTACCTTCAACTAAATCCAACCTCCTACAGTTTCAACTACCTTCCAATGGTCCATTTTGCTATGACTCCATCAAGGGATTAATCAAGATATTGATGAGGTGTAGAGAATGCATGATTCAATTACTTCTGAAAAGCCCATTTCTGAACATTGCTACATTGGGGACCAAATCTTTAACATGTAAGCCTTTGAGGAATATTTCAGATCCAAACCATAACATCATCAATCATCATAATTGATACTGAAATACTGATCCACTTCTCACAGAGATTGAGAAAAAAGACACAGACATCTTAACTTTTTTGTCATTAGCACTTTTATTTAATATTTCATGAAATACTTAGCCAATGATATAAGGAAATAAAAGATTAATATCAAAAAGGAAAATAGTTATTGTTAGATATGTAAAATCTGAGCAAATATAAAAATATTAATGGAAGCAAACAAAACCATGATAACAAAATGTGACAAGAAAAAAATTACATGACATTAGTTTCATGATCATAGGTAGAAAAAGTGATATTAAAAATTAGCAAATTTTTAAAAATTTAAATGTAAAAATATTTAAAAATTTATAAACAGTTTGGATACATGAATAAGTAGGGCCACTGAATTTAATATACATTAAAATCTGAGTTTCTATGTAGTAGTGTATGTAATTAACTGAAAAATCCTCCCAGAAATATCCATATACTAATCATTGAAACTAGTGGGCATTAGGTAAGATGGTGTTTCAGTCAACTTTTTTTGTTGCTGTGATAAAAAAGACCCAAGAACAATTTTCAAGGAGGAA